AATTTGCTGTAATTGCTACTTTTACTGGTCGTGGGAAAAATATATCGATGGCTTTAGGCTCTTCAGAAATAATTAAGCTGGTTAAAAGTAAATAGTTTTCCATCATATCCATATATATGTACAATTTATATCATGCTCATGCAAATTACAATTTTTATATAATATGTGCAAACTTTATTTTAATAGAGATAATTAAACAAAATTCGAAACGAGTAATGACAGATTCTGAGTATGAAAGTGTGGTTGCTAATTGGTTAAGGCATGGAAATACTAGATTGAGTAGAATCAAATGTATCAAATGATTCATTTATATTTATTTATGCAGATATTTATGAAAAAAGATGGCCTTTAGTATAGTATTATAAAATTTTAAATAAATGTATTAACCCAAAATCATTTCAAATTATACATTAGGTAACTAATGTATTAAATTTATTATATTATAAATATTTATACTAATGCATGTGCATACATTTTCAGAAAAAAAACACTTATTTATCTTATGAAATTGTATTTGTTTGTTTGATTTTATGATTGTTAAATAAAGAAAAGGAAAGATATATCAGCCTTATCATCAAAATATTTTCAACAATTATTAAAAGTATATGTGATAAATTGCTTTCTTTGTTTAATAGTTTTTTTATTTTTTATTGTATTTTGTTAATAAGAGAATAATAAAATACGATAACTGTTTTAAATTGTATGTTAATTTTATTTAAACATAATCCTATCTCTATACCTATTATATGGTATTATTTAAAAAAATATATTTTTATTATTTCATGAAGATAATGAGTTCTACTAAACAAATGTAAGGGTGTCTCTACGAGCTAACAGATTACAATAAGTAATAAAAAGTGTGAAGTTAATATACTTAAATTGGTATTTTAAATTCAATACCTAATAATACTTAACTTGTATTAATGTATAAGGATTTAAAAAATAAATTCTGAAGTCCAAACTACAAATTATAAATAATTATATTAAACACTTAATTTATTATTTGTTTAATGAGCAACTATTTTATTGTATTTTATTTGAATTTTTAAACAATGAGGTTTATTTTGTTCTTTCAACATATAACAGCCACATAATATATATATATTTTTAATTTTTAAAGAAATACTATGCTTGATGTCTAATGTGCATGGACACAACTAGAAATTTGAACAAGGGGTGCTTAATCTCTGGTTTTGTTTTTTGCTTATGTGTAAACACGGTCACTATGGAAAAACAAAAACCTTTCAAAAGGTTACTTAAAAAAAGTCATTTTTTTTTTGTGTAATTTTTTTATTTATTTTATAAATAATATGTATAATAATTATATTTGAAATTAGTAATTCTTATTTTAAATTATACATTTTTAAATACAATTTTTTGGGATGTTAAGGACTTAAAGCACCCTCCCTACCTAGTTGTGTCAATGCTAATGTGGTACCATGATATTAATTAATATATTAATATGCATAGTATAGTGCATTATTTTTTTGGAAATGAATAACATCCATACAATTACTAATTGCAACAGCTTATGGATGTTACATAGGAACAAATATTTTATGCACCATTATGTTTGTATTATATTGTTATTGGGACATTGAAAAGTGATGTTTATAAGAGGTTTGTTTTAAACTGTTTAAAAGAGGTTTTTTGAAAGACATCATTGCGGTAGAAATATGGTCACTGGGATGTTAAACATACTCCTCCTTAAGAACGCAATTTGTAATGTTCCGTGTTTTTAAAAAACATCCATATAACATTGATGGAACAAATAATTGCACAGTGGGTATTTATGTTTTCGAGAGTAAATTTGTTTGGCTATTGTTAAATCTGTTAATTATAAAACATTAATAATATATAAAGATGTATGAGATATATAAGTGATAAATTATGTGGTCAAATGAGAGCAATTAAAAGTTGAATATACGCATTTTATATTGAGATAAGCTCGAATCATTGACCAATAAAAAGAACGATCGGAAACTTGATTATTAAACGTCCAAAACATAATATTATAGTTAAAGTACGGCCAGCGAAACTAGGCGGGTGCCCGACGCGCGCCTAGTGTCTAATTTCCAGCAGTGCTTCCAAGACTACATTCCCGCGTAAAATAATTTTAAAAGTGCAGGAGTTGTAATTAAGACTAAACATTTAATATTTTTGTACGTAAAACTCGTTATTTATCACATTCGATAACAAGTAATAATATTAATATTTTAAGTATTTACACAATTATGTATGCATGCACATTTAAAAATAAATAAGTAGGTAATAAAACTTAAAACTATTATTATATTTACAAAAAAAAATAAATATTTTTCCGAATTGAAATTATCTAGTCCTCATTGTCGTCTTCATCTTCGCTTGAACTACTTTCGTCAGGATTAATGGTCAATATTATTGGTTCTAATATATCATCCCTTAGTCCTGCCTTGACGAAGTCCTCTTCCTGGATCTTGACGCAATGTTCTCCACATTTGGCCCAATCTTCCGGAGTTACTGCATCGATTTCTTTATGCACAAGTGTCTCGACATCTGCAATTTTGAATGTTGAATTTTTTTCAGCCACTCTGCCTTTTACTTGTGCCCAAATGAGTTCTATTGGATTGTACTGACAGTGGTAAGGGGGAAGCCTTACCACTTCATGATCCATTTGGAAAGTTAGTTCATCCAGTTTATATTTTTTTCCTCGCCGCATTGAAAGTTTAACTTTTTCCCGTAACTCGTCAAGTGTTTCAACGGGAGAAAAATCTATATTTTTCATCCCGTAACCACTGTTGAACATCAGTTTTTCTACAGTTGGACTTCGGATAGTTCTCGACCAAAGTAGAGTGATACGACGCGTTATCCATGACAATAATGCTCGGTTCTTCTAAGTTAAGTAACATCTATGAGAACCAACTTTCAAAATATGTGGCGTTCATTCTGAATGATAATCATTGTTACTAGAATTACATCTAAAAATTAGTTTTGATTCCTTAATGAATCCGAAGGAAGGAGATCCGGCGTGGCATACGATGATGCGACTGCCTCTCCCTGTAGGTACTTTTAAACCTTCCGTATTTTCATTATTCTGCCAAATACGTCCACGGGTATGGTTTTGATTAACTCAAGTTTCATCTAAGTAGACTACAGGCCGAGTATCATCGTTCCTACGAAACTCGTTCATTTTTCTAAGGAACTTAACGCGCGCAGCTACAATATCGGATCGTTCCATTAAGAATTTGCGACCATCGTTGCATTTCTTGTACTTAAAATTAAGTTGTTTTAAAATTATTTTCACCGACGATTTTGATCCACGGTAACTTAATTTTTCACGCAATTCCACTAATATTTTAGCACTCGTTGGAAATTCACCCTTGTCGTAAAAGCTATGAACGACTCTTCTAACCACTTCATTGTCAAAATCATCAAGTTCAGTGACAGTTTTCTCACGAATGTAATTTTTTCGTGGTGATCGAAATTTAAGGTCATTGGAACTTCCTACACTTAATGATTCTTCTTGATTTCTAGTTATTTTACTTTCATTACATACCCGTTGTACAGTTCTCAGACTCACCGCACAAGCCTCGGCCGTCCTCTCTTGTGACTGTCGAAAATAGTCTGCCAATTCCGACTTCTCTTTGCAATTGGCTAACATTCTAAAAAATGTATACACGTTGTAAATTGTTTTTTTCATTTGGGAATGTATATCGGGTCGAATTGACATTTTAAAAATAATAATTTGTCACCAACGAATAGTAAAAAAAAAACACAGAAAAAAATTAAAATATTGTACAATATTAAAACAGCCGTATAAAAATCACACTCAACTCAAACGATAGCAATAACACATACACGAAGGGCAGAGAATCAAAGACTAATACATTTTTAAAAAAATCGTTTCTACACACAATTTGGGTTCAATAGAATAACAAACAATAAGGTCAATGGAATGCGGTCCCCAGCGCCAGATGTCCAGTTTGAATACAAAAAAAGCCGCGCGCAACGGTTATACGCACCCGCAGCAGTTTATTGTACGCATATTTACATTATATATATATATTGATATATACGATATACCTTATGGTTTATTCAATAATAAAATATATTTGATGTAACAGTACTCAACATTTCTCATATAACAGCTGAAACACAGCTGCATCAGCTATTCATTTAATAAATAATACTTTTAGAACCCCTGGCTTGCATGAAAACGGACACTAGGCGCACGTCGGGTACCCGTCTAGTTTCGCTGGCCGTACTATAGTTGAAAATATATGATATTCTTCCATCGGCAGTAAAAATATCACCCAGTTACTATATAATTAATTTTGTTAAAGTGTCATACGACCATAATCGTTTTATAAACACATTTTTACATCGTATTTATTTTTAAGTCAACTGTTAATAAAATTTACTTTAAAATGTACTTTTATTTACTATTTTACTTTTTAATTTAATTTACATTTATGTTTAACAACCTTTTATATTATTCTAAGATTTAAACATATTTATATTTATTAATTTGTTACGTGCTAACCGATCGATCTGATAATTCAGTGTCAACGTCTCAGTCAACGCTTGGTTGTAGGTGTAGCAAGGAATAATTAAGACTTTTTAAAATAATTAAATTTATTTAACTCATAAAATTATCGTAACTACAATTCTGTAAATATTCTAAGTAGAAATTATTTAAGTCCTAACAATTATAACTTATAAAAATAATTTGAAATATTTCTAAGTCCAGACCATGACATTCACTGACGTGAAGGTGCTTAGTGCAGCATAGCCAAAACTCGTCTGAATAAGGCCTGTTCGGGACCCCCTTTTATATCTGATATCTGCATGTGTGTGTGTAAATGAAAAATTATAATTTAATATGATAAATGTGATGAGTCGTTATTGATTCTGTGTGTGCGCTCTAAAATATGATAATTATCTATTGATTCTGTATGCGTGTACTATCTCCTGACCAGCCCATACTTAATACAGGATGTGGTCAACCACCCACGTGTATGTGACTCCGATATTCATATTCTTATTTAAACAGATAATCATGTGAACAATTTAACTTATTCACACCTCTGGTTTCGATGTTCATGAGAACCTCTTATAATGTGTGTTTTATACTATGTGACCACGCGGGACGCGACAAATTACTCAATCTTATATATAAATTATTTAAAATTAATTCTATTTTTATGAAAATCGTTTAACCTGATTTTGGGATAACATAATAATTACAATAATAATGACCTTACTTATACTATAATAGTATATAATGCGACTTATGCGCTGTATAAATCACATACATTTCAGTTAAAACGCCATATAAGACATATATTTATTCAAAATACTCAAAGAGAATATTGACCGTAATAAAGATATTATTATGTGGTCACTTTACTCATATACCTGTAAAGCGTAAAATGTGTATTAATATTAATGAATAATTTAATTTACGAAAATTAAAGATGTGTTTATAGTGTTGTATGATTATTGTCTATTGTTCTTAGGTACAGGAAGTCTAAATACATTCTTTTAAAATACCTACACGCTATATTTTGTCCTTATTTGGTTAATCCAAAAAGATTTTTTTTTAAATAAATATTGTTTCAAATTATAAAATGTGTGGTTACCATTTTTTACAAAACTATTCTAATTTTCTTTTTAAACCCACATGAATCTTCATATTTCATGTTTAAAAATGTAATGTATTTAGTATGTAGTTTTAAATTATATTGATAAAAGGTACTTCATATAAATATTACAAATACTACTCATAAACCTTTCATCATTATTAATTTGGTCTCTTCTCCTAATCATGCTTGTACATACTGTGAACGACAAAATATCATACATATTAAATAGTATTAAAAACCAATGATAATATTTGCTTATGACGCGGTAAAATTACTGACGAAGACTAATGTTTATAAAATGTTTTATATATCCTTTATAAAAAAACTGTCTTACATTTAATACTGTTTATAATTTTTTATTGCACAATGTATCATAAATACTGTTAGAGACATTTATAAAATAAAAAATTTTACCTGACGATCGACATACACGCACAACATGAACTTGGTCTAACTAAATAGAGCGTATGGATCGAGTTATAATGCGTTACATATAATTTAATGTTCTTAAAATATTAGACATTTATGATTCATGCAATGAAGTCGAATTTGTTTTGCCTCTAGTGAGTAAAAAATACCTACTTTAACTATACATATTAGGTATTCATAGTATTCGCCAATACAGGCTATACATATTTGATAGACATGTGTTGTGTTCTACACGTAATATAAATGCGTGCATATTTTATTTCATAATAATTGATCTGTATGACAATATACGTATTTATAAAACACTGCAGGGATTACAAATCAAAATTTTTACGTAATAATTTCTACAAACTTCTAAATAAGAATAGCGTTATAAATATAATCATAAAAGGAACACTAAGGTTTTTCCGGTCTTGTATAAGATATGTCGCGGTATAATTATACGAAGTTCTTCGTTTTTGACGGTTCGGCAACCTCAACTACAACAATGTATAATGCATGTATAATATTTATGCATATACTACGGTTTAACTACGGTCAACTCTCATTTTTTTCTACCAAGGTCGATATTTATTATACGCTGTATCATTTTTACTTCTTATTTGCTCCAATCATATTTATATAATACAATGTGGAAGACCGAGACAATTTATAAAATACATGCGTACATTCAAGCATACATTTATAATTAGTTTAGAAAACGAGTACGAATCATTTTATAACTATAGATGCTCTACAACAGTTCAGTAAACCACACACGTAATAAATTATTAAATATTTATAAATATGTTTTTGAATCGTACCCATGTAAAATAAATATAGTACAAAGTTAATTTTAACTTTTTCATGACTGCATTATAGGTACTCAATATATCACTTATTTACACACTCTAAAAAATCATATTTAACACGTTGACTGTCACAAGCCCGCCGGCGACCAAAGTGATGTTTTTTATTGTGAAGCCGTTTGGGTCGTCGGCGATCTAAATCATATTATTAATGTGACGTCACTTAGGTCGCGGGCTGCCAAATTTAACATCAACATTAAATGTATCTAGTTCTTTACGGCTTGGAGAGAACAATATTTAGATTGGACCATGGCGTAGACAAGACGATTTTGATCATTTAAAAAAAAAAAAAAAATAATAAAATCCTTCAACTTTAATACATTTATATTTTATACAAAAAAATTTAAAACATGAATTTCTAAGTGTATTAAATAGTAATAGTGTATTAAATTAAAATCTAAAAAAATAAAGAGGTACCCTAGATAAATTGATAAAAAAAAATTCACTTTAAATTACTTTAAATTAAAAATATATAAAAAAATGTAACAACATTTTATTCATACATTTTGTTTTTTAAATGGTCTTGAAAATATTGTATGCAAACCGATGGTTTTGATGGGCACAAACTGCAAAAGGTTACTTTCTTAGCCTTGTTTAAAGCTTCCCTAGAAATAATAAATTAAAAATCAAAAATTCATATTAATTTAAAAAAATTTAATTTGAACTCACTTGTATCCTAGTTCTTTTGAAAATGTTGTATAGCATTCAATACATCTTTTTATAGACGATTATAGAATTGCTACAAAACTTTTTGACGATTCCGGTATCGAATATCACACTTACCAATTCCTAGAAAACAAACAACTATCCGTCATCATCAGGAACCTTCCTGTAAATATATCTGAAGCGTGTATACATAAAGA